TCAAAAAGATTAATTATTTTTAGGACGTTAACATGATATTTATTTAGCATTGATATTTATTATTTTATAATTTCGTATACACTTTGGGAGTCCTGGCGTGCAGCTAGCAGGGGTTGCATTCTGTGGGTACGGCGATAAGACCTCCCTATTAAAGTAGGAGGCCAGAAACCGTTGACCAGAACAGAGAGATACCAGGCATCTCGGGGGAAATAAAAGTGCACTGTATAGAATAAAATCGGTATAAGGAAGTTCACGACACGATCCCAATCGTTTAGCCTCTCAAATAAATTGACTAGAGTCAGATATATCCCATGATGCATGAGGGCATTACATTATGTGGGACACGAGGGCAGAGGGCACCGCCCTCGTTTCCTCCAACCTCGAGTTCGGTTCCCATTGAGTGGTATTGTCATGGAATAGTCGCCACCAAATGCGATAAGAGCTATAATAAATCACATTTCTTCCACAAAACTAGCTAATAAACTTAAAGTTTAAGTTTGGGGGAAAGAAGGGGTCGATATATCGAGGTACTCGATATAGAGTGGCCCAATATATACCTAGACTATAGAGGTTCGATTGTAAAACAGTAAATGGTCGGTCTGTTCATTCATAATTTATAATAGGAGGCAGTACGCGGCACAAACCATGCGTTACGGAGTACTTAATTTAAATTGATATTACTTCCTTTTGTCTGGACAAAGAAGACACTGGGGCGGTCCACTCGACCCAATTTTTGTTAAAAATTTATATACCTGAACCTCTTACTCTCCAAAGTGTTAAATTAAGTTAACTTTAATAGAAAAAAATTTCTATTTGAGAAAAGACACATATATATCAGCATTCCTTACCCTATCAAAAATGATATCACGAAGCACCCCATATCGTCGTTGTAAGAATCGCTCCTAAATTCTCATGAACTCTATAAATCTTGAAGAAATAAAATAAAACATAGCAAACAGTCAAATAAACTTAATAAGTTAAATTAAAAACATAGGAAGGAATGATGGGTAGCGGGACGGTAAATACTTTGTCAATTTGGAGGGTAGAGTCACGTGATGGGAGAAGGAATATGATTTATAATTGGATGAAAAAGTTCTACTAATTATAGTTATACAATTATACAATTATAGTAGAATAATGTCGCACAAAAGTATATATAATAAATCCGCATATTTATCATAAAATATATCCTGATTTAACTTTAAGATTGGCGAGGATAGCGAAGATAATGATGTAACAGAATTGCAAAAATCCCCGATTCAAGGATGAAAATAATTTCGACCTTACTAATGATGATGCTAAGAATGTGATTAGTAAATCGAGAATGTTATTAATGATATGTCCCAACAGTGAGATTCGCAAAAAAATAACGACACAGCTACTAACTTACGAAATATTAATCTAAATAATTCAAAAAATTATTTCTGCTGTATGTAATTATGTATTTGACCAAAACCCATAATCATGGGTAGAGTGGACCGCTGCCAGTGTCTCTCTTTCCCAAACAAAAAGAAATGATATTAATTTGGTTGACCGTTTTCAATGCAAAATGATACCGAGAATGAAATCGGTCGCTCGCTTTTCCCAGTGGTGGTAGTAAGTCATACCAGAAAGAATTGTTTCAATTGGGCACTCAGTGACTGAGCTATTAAGGCCAACGTATAGGTACTGACTTTTGGCCCACCCTGTGTATATATGTATTTATGTAAATTGTGGGTGGTGTCGTCTGCTGACAGTGCTCAATCGGCAAGACGAGAGCTAGATGTATATATGTATGTATATATGTATCACGACAATCTATCGTAAAACAGGGGTTCCAGAAAACCCACTTTTTGATACTCCTGAAACACGAAATTTGTTTTACAGTCGATTTGGTCAACGTCTAGACGCCCTGCAAAGTTTCAGAACTCTAACTCAATTTTAACATGGTTTTTAAGTCACCTGAATATGGCGATTTTGGGTTTTTTAAACCAAATTTCGTATAACATGCTGGCGCGTATTTTGCGCAAATTTCTTAAAAACCTCCACATAACTATATCTTATTCCTGTCATCTTTAACATTGAATTAGAATGACTTGAACTTAAATATACCTGCTGAACTACTTTCGATGAGTCTTAATGCCAGAAAATCAATAAAGGGGGTATTAAAGTAAAGGGGGTAAATAGTAAAGGGGGTAAATAGTATTGTGAATATAAGAGGCACGGTCATACTTGCCAGCATTGTGATATAATTGAAGATGCACATTTATTGTACTAACAAAATAGGAACCGACCAGTGCAGCAAGGAAAACACGCAAGGCCCAAACTACGAACACATGCATGGCATTGGTACTGTTGTGCCAGATAACACCAACAAACTTCCACATGTTACAAGAAGTCAGCAATAATTATATTCCTTGACAGGACGACAGCATCTGATCCGAAAAGTACTAAACACCCGAACTATAAAATCTGTGATAGTCGCACCACCGTCGAGCAAAGGAAACTGGCTGATCTGAAAATTGGTGGACTGATGACTATCGAAAATGCCAAGAAACTACAGCTGTGCTTTGCTCAACTTGATCGTAGAGTCAAGAGTGTGTTCTAGAAATAAACCGAAGATGCAGCTCTCTCACGTTCAAGACACTCTGACCGAGGGTAATCGGTCTTTTCTAATGACATAATGGCCTTTGTTTTAATCCTAAGTTTATGGGGAGTTAGCATTGGGTTTACTTGCCACAACAAAGCAGGAACCCTCTGCTTGAAATGCTCATGAATAAAACATTGTTATGTTGTTGGTCTGGGGATGTGCTCCAACTTCTTTCTTTGTGTTACAAGATAATCACACATAAGCGGGTCTTTAACATCTGCTGACAGTTTACAAGCTACAATGAACGTACTGTTCACTAAGAACACTGACTGGATGGACCTTGGCAAAAAGCCAAGGACTTACAGCTTCTTGGGATTGACACTATGTTCACCACCATTGGTAATGCTGTCCGAGACAGTGCCCGTAGTTACACTACTAGTAACACTACTAGTAACACTACTAGTAACACTACTAGTAACACTACTAGTTACACTACTAGTAACACTACTAGTTACACTACTAGTAATATTTGTAGATAATGTTCACCTTTAAGTAAACGGTTAAAAGTAGTATTACTAGTATCCCATGGAGACTGAAAATATATCTTGCAGAACCTGGTTGGAAACAACCTATCACTACTAGTAGTCACCATAGTTACACTACTAGTTACCATAGTAAAACCACCTATCACTACTAGTAGTCACCATAGTTACACTACTAGTTACCATAGTAAAACCAACTATCACTACTACTAGTTACCATAGTTACACTACTAGTTAGCATCGTAAAACCACCTATCACTACTAGTAGTCACCATAGTTACACTACTAGTTAGCATAGTAAAACCACCTATCACTACTACTAGTTACCATAGTTACACTACTAGTTAGCATAGTAAAACCAACTATCACTACTACTAGTTACCATAGTTACACTACTAGTTACCATAGTAAAACCAACTATCACTACTACTAGTTACCATAGTTACACTACTAGTTACCATAGTAAAACCACCTATCACTACTACTAGTCACCATAGTTACACTACTAGTTAGCATAGTAAAACCAACTATCACTACTACTAGTTACCATAGTTACACTACTAGTTACCATAGTAAAACCAACTATCACTACTACTAGTTACCATAGTTACACTACTAGTTACCATAGTAAAACAACCTATCACTACTAGTAGTCACCATAGTTACACTACTAGTTAGCATAGTAAAACCACCTATCACTACTACTAGTTACCATAGTTACACTACTAGTTAGCATAGTAAAACCACCTATCACTACTACTAGTTACCATAGTTACACTACTAGTTAGCATAGTAAAACCACCTATCACTACTACTAGTTACCATAGTTACACTACTAGTTACCATAGTAAAACCAACTATCACTACTACTAGTTACCATAGTTACACTACTAGTTAGCATCGTAAAACCACCTATCACTACTACTAGTCACCATAGTTACACTACTAGTTAGCATAGTAAAACCACCTATCACTACTACTAGTTACCATAGTTACACTACTAGTTACCATAGTAAAACCACCTATCACGACTACTAGTTACCATAGTTACACTACTAGTTAGCATAGTAAAACCACCTATCACTACTACTAGTTACCATAGTTACACTACTAGTTAGCATAGTAAAACCACCTATCACTACTACTAGTTACCATAGTTACACTACTAGTTACCATATTAAAACCACCTATCACGACTACTAGTTACCATAGTTACTCTACTAGTAACCATAGTAAAACAATTCTATCACTACTACTAGTTACCATAGTTACAATACTAGTTACCATAGTAAAACGACCTATCGCGGAGCTAACAAGAATTTCGCCGCGGTTTCACCACGCACGATCAAGTTTCCCTACAAAGTAATTGTTTTACTAATTGTATAATAATTGTATCCCAGAGTGGTGTTTGGCGCATGTAATAATCGTTTTTATTATATTAGGCGTGCAAAACTTGAAAACTCTGAGCGCATCTAGGGTGTCGCCGTCATGTCGAGCGTGGAGCTAAAAATCCTGGATGCAGCCAAGTTCGACGATTTGCATTTTTTGTTAGGGACCGGCCCACTAAGTTCCCATCCTTTGATTGTTTTTTATAGCCGTCAGGAGAATCAATCCATCGACCTTGATTAATCCACAGTCGTAAACGATGGTGGTGGAATCGATATTGGTAGTTGATATTTGTCCAAATTGGACATGTTGAGGACAATTATCTTTTCTATATTGGGTTTTGTTCATGGTCAGAGTTGGGGCAATGGTAACGGTTGGGGTAAAGTTTTCCGTACGACCGTTTCGTTTTGCTAGAAATAAGAATACGGATACCTTATAAACCACTTATTAGGCGAGCGATTTAACAAGAGCCGAAATCATCATGAGAAATGAAACAAGCTACATTCATTATTCAGTTAAAGTTCCAAAAAGGTTTTCATTTATAATGTACATGTGCAGATACAAATTCTATAATACAAACATTTTACATTTTAAAATCAACCGACAGATGCGTCTAAAACTAAAAATATAACTGTTCCGTGTTAACCACGAATTACTGATCTTTACAAAACAATAAATTAACATTCGCGGTGGATTAATAATAATGTACACGGCGCGTGCACACGTGCATGGACTGAGAAGCATTATTATTCCGGGAACTGAAGTGAAGAAACTTTGATGAGCACGCACAAATATGTACATGAGACTGAAAAGATACGCGCATGTGCAGCACCCTAGCTCGATCTGATGACGGTCGCCACGTGACGTCATGCCTTGGTGACGTCACGCGTAAGATGTCACGTGTTTGCGACTAAATATTCTCGAATAGTTCCCACGGTGGCGGGTTTGATCCTGTTTATTTCCGTCAATAGTTTGTTTCCCATGCACTGATAAAGGAGGCACGCCAGACGCCCCACGTAGGAGCCCAGATTGTTTGCTCCGTTGGTTTGAACCAGACATTCGCTGTGTTCCACGATTATTGGGACTGTCATTTGTTCCACCAACTTAGGTCGCACCTCGTGCACTTGTCGCACCTGGAACAACATTCATTATTATATTCGTCTTACATTTTTAGAAGAGACAAGTATGAGAATAATATGAAACCGGAGACTTGTTACAAATACAAGAAACATCAAAAGGGAATATCATCCGACTATTTTTTAGTGTCTAAGATTTTCAGTTATATACAATAATTTGAGCATTTCAATTTCACTGTAAAATGAACAACGTGCAACAGCGAAAGAAAAGAACGCAAAGTAAAAGATTTACCATATCTGAGATCTTGTCGAGTATGATAGGCTTTATTCTGGGGTTGTTCTGACTTTTGATGATCCTACAATATTCGCACACCAGTTGGGGATTATCTGAAAGCAATGTTTTGAAAGATTAAAATTCGAGAAAATTGTATCACAGCAAATTTAGCAGATCTGTTTAAACAATTACATGATATAATTATAACTATGTCTATAAGGTGGATACTTGACAAGGGAAACTTACCAACGTGAACTTTGAACCCGTCTAATATCTGACTAGTAAGCGTAACAATGTTAGCTCGCTGGGAGGCCAGGTTAGGGACCAGCTGCTCAGTGAACGGGGTCAGAACCTGGTCCAGGGACGTCTCCAGGTGGGGCAACATCCGCAGTAGGCACTGCAGTGCGTACAGGTTTACCTGGTGGACAGGGCAGTTAGTGTTATTGCAAGGAGAGGGAATGAGGTGTTAAACATTCCATAGCTCAATAAACTCTTGCTGCACTATAGTTGGGTGCGGTTAGGTTCGATGGGTAGGCGAGAGTATAAGTGTAACGAGAAAAGATACTTAAAATACTGGGCTCAACCTTGCTGTTAGGGTCCTTGAGACGGGGAGTAACTAGTTACCATAGTTACACTACTAGTTACCATAGTAACATTACTAGTTACCATAGTAACACTACTAGTTACCATAGTTACACTACTAGTTACCATAGTTACACTACTAGTTACCATAGTTACACTACTAGTTACCATAGTTACACTAGTAGTTACCATAGTTACACTACTAGTTACCATAATTACACTACTAGTTACACTACCTTGCTGTTAGGGTCCTTGAGGCGGGGAGTAAACGCATCACTTATCCGCACAATACACTGTCTGACCTCTGCTGGTTGTTTGATGGACAAGTCTAGGAGCTCAGCTATACCAGTGTATCTGAAGTAGTTATTATTCTGCACAAAATATTGAAACATTGTTATTTACAATTACAGCATAAAATATATCTTTAACAAGAATGCATTCGGACCCAGATAAATAAAAAATGATTTCAAATTAAAGCAGTTGTCAAACGCTGCCCGCCCTATCATCTCATCGATGAAATGCAAACTCCCAACTTGAAAAACACCGTAAAAAGAAACCCACAAACCTGTCCTGCCAGTTGGATGAGTTGAGGTTCTTGTACAAACTCTGCGGCATCCTGTCAGAGTGGACCGTCTCGCGCAGGTCGCGCCGAGGACCTGGTCTGCGCGCAGTGCGCGGCGAGTTAGTCTCCAGGCTGGTGTGGAGAGAGTCTGGGTGGTCTACCTCGTTGTGACAACTGGGAGGAGAGGAGGGTTAGTGTTAGTTTGATATTACTGGCTCTTTTGTAAAACATTTGCTATTTGTTGAAGTGATTTATGTTATTTAGGGCGATTCGATTTCGAATTCGAAACAATTAAATGATTACTGAAACGGACTCAATGTTATGATAGAAAAATGTCCATGTCAATGATAGATGGTGTGGTGCCCCAGAATTTATTTTAAGTGAGGAAACAGCAAACTGTTAGATATTTTCTGCTACAGCAAAGTAAATTCTGCGAGTCACCGTTTATGGATTATGTTTTGAATGATAACGAAAAAACACTACCAATGCTCGCGAGAAATAAATAACATTACCAGAATTTGTGATTAATAAATAACATTACCATAATTTGTGATTAAATCATAACGGTCTTTACATCATACATCATACATCATTAACAAGTTAAATAAATGTATAGCGAACTCATTTTAATATACTTCGTAAGCTAATATATCAGCAAAGTATAACTATAAGGAGAGAAGAAAATAAAGAAAAAAAGAAGTAAAATTCCCTGGTACCAATTCTGTAAAAACTTACAGAAAAGAAATAGCAAAAATAGAAACTTCATTTTATGTAAATCAATAATAAAAGACTAAAATCGATGGTGAAAAGTGCGATTATTGCGACTGGTGAGTAAATCGTTTTCTTCACAATTTGTTGTTATCCCCAAAAGATGATTTCTTGACGGGAACCAAATTTTCGGTTGACAATCTTAGAAATGAGTGACTCATTGACATAAAAAATAAGCAATCGGAAAATAAAATGTGTCCCAATTCTAGATCATAACAATAATCCGTGATAGCTAGAAGATGATGATGTAATATGAGAAAATGAAGTGTCCACTGTTCGCTTATCCGGCGAAACTACAGGTTTTCTTTTTGCACTGAAATGAATGAAGTTTTGGGTGAAGTTAGAGTGATGATTGGGTGAGGTAAGGGGCGGCATTTTTATAAAACTTGGGGGGGGGGGGGCTTTAAAGGACTCCGTAGTGCCTTCACATCAAGTGCTTTGTGTCTTATTGATTTCTTAAATGAAGAACTCAGGGTATTAAAATGACTTATGTGATATTGAAGAACAGATGCCAGTAGCCTTAACCGTGCCTTAACCGTGTTTTAACCGTGCCTTAACCGTGCGTAGCTACATTACCGAATTGCCCACTACTATCACGAGGGTGAAGTGAGAGTGAAATAAAGCTTGTTAACACTCGATAAGAACCCTGAACAATTTAACAAACCTAGGTTTCCTGGATCGGTTGGCAGGGTAGGTAGCGGATAGGTTGGACTGGGCCCGTGACACGGGTTGGGACCGGTACCTGTAACATTAGCACTCGTTAAGAAAGATAAAGATAATGTATCACTATTGGAAATATTATTACATCCCACCTTACAAGGAAAAGCAAGATTTTACAGTAAATACAATTTAATTTCAGTGAACATTATGCACATATTATTAAATTTCCCTACCTTCCACTTGTACGGTCAGCAGATTGAGGCAGGTTGCCCACACCCTTATTCTTGATCTTGTCGCAGAGATCCTTGAGGTTTCGGGCCGCGTTAGCAGGTAAGTGCCGCTGACACAGCGAGTCAAAGTTAGAGAGCTCCATACACCAGGAGAGGACGAGGCGTCCGTAGTACCTGGATATCACGTTACATTTAGATCACATGACGTCACATTACGATCACGGGAGAAACATGACGTCATGTTTTCAAAATAGACATCAAACTGCTTTACGTGATAATTATAATTATAAACCTCATGACGTCACTTATCAACAACAATATTACCTGGCTTCCTGGTTTCCATCGTGACTCAGCTTATCGACTGCGGTAATAAATTTGGGGGCGAACTCCTTGTTAAGACACTTGTTCACTCCCATACGGGACACTATGTCTTTCAAACAGGCTGCTGATATCGCACGTACGTTGGCGCTCTTGTGACTCCTACAGAACAATAGCACATCGTATTTAGTTAGTAAGTGAGTTTCAGTGAGTTCAGCAAATGCAAAATTTAGAGATTTACTAATTATCCATTTAAATATTACTAAGTAAATAGCATGTAAATTGTGAAATCAGACTTACGTTCCGTGGTTGATAAGGGAGACAAGGACCCTGGATGGAGTTGCATTGTCCACCATTTTACTGAGGGTTGCTCCGATATCGTTCCGTATAAACTGGTTCAGCTCACCCGTTTTTATCAGAAGACATTCGCACGTGCGCTCCAGATCTGGGAAGATTGTGGTGGATGAATATATGTGAATGATATGTTGAAATAAGAATCCAGATAAACTTAACACACGAAGAAACAAAAAAAGAATTGGTCGCAAATTAAGCAAACATTACACTCGTAATGGATAGTAAATCTTAATCTAGCAGCTCTAACCTGCGTCCATGGCAGTCTTGAGGAGTGTGAAGTAGTCTCCAATTATCTGGATAGCGAGTCTTGCTACTTGAGACCTCAGGTTGAGTACCTCAGCACATGTCAGCCGGATGTAGGTCAGAATGTCACTCTGGAATGCCTCCGGGTGATGGCGCGCCAGACGCCGCAGCACGTGCAGTCCTTGTACCTAAAATAGGAAAAGGTGAGTGCTGATTATTAGATGTAAAATTTGGCTCTGAAAATTTGGAATACTATCAATACTCTTACTTCATAAGCATCTCTTCTCTGTCATAAAACGGATTTGATAACCCAAAAAACCAGCCCATTATTTTAATCAACGGTCCAATCTAGTAACAGTAACACGACATTATTTAATACGACATTATTTAATACCACATTATTTAATACCACAATATTATATATATATATATATATATCTACTTGAGCTTCACCATCACCGGGCATTTCGCCACTGTGATACACACAGTAGCCTTGTTTACCGACCTTTCGCCTTGATCTACCGTTATCTTATAATTGGGCTATGATATTAGGCTTTATTGCCGATTGGGGCAACTGTAGCTCGAATACAGCTCGAATATTTTCACCGTGTATAACATATTACAATAAAATATCAACGCTGAATGTAAATTCTTAATGTTTGGCAACGGTTAATGTGTGCCTTCTCACCACGTTTTTCATTGTTCAACCCTATTTATCATGGGACAGGTGACTGTTTTGTTGTTGAATTATACCTGTGGCTGACTTTTTGTTCGCAACTAACGATTGATTTGCGAGATACAAACTTTTTATCAGGCTTTCTATCCGTCTAGTACAGAACCACTCCAGAACCGATCGCGCTGTTAGCTTGGCAGAGTTTCTGATTGACAAGTTGGCAAGTAGTCCCTGGATTCATTGCTGTCGATGAACATCATTAACATTCCATTCGCCTTTACAAAAGAAAACTCCAATAAAACTGTCAATTCTCTCTTGCGGGTAATGTTATGAAATTCATGCCCAGAGCAACCTGACAGCCCAACCTGCCAGGGCGTGTTACAATTGTCTTTTAGCTCGTGTATGAAACTGTGGATTGGAAGCAACCAAAGAATTGCTTGACCAGTGTTTGACTTACCTTCAACTATAATTGTAGCTGCTGTGTGCAAATTACTTGAATACGCATAATATTTAATTTGCGACATAATCATTCCCCCTTTGTGGATTCTGGAATCATAACAGATGCTGTAGCTGATCTATCACGAGCTTGCATAGAGCTCATTTTAAGGATTCAAAAATTAGTGGGGATTAGAAAATACAGGAACTAAGGATCACTGTTCCCGTGAGACAATTATTTAAAAAATTATAAAAGTCGCTCATCTGAGATCTTTACACTGGGTCTCTCATCGTTGAAATTCTTACAAGTCACGAGTGTGCATTTAAAAGAATTTCAACCTAAAAAATTGATCATGATTGCCTTTGTGTTTTTGTCAGCGTTGGCCATCAGGAATAATCCTTGTGAATTTGAATCTAGTCACCAAATCATACCAAACTCATCATACCATAAAGATTAAATTTGCTCAATAAATTTTCACAGATGGCGACCGACCAGGCTATTGTAAGATTGTAGTAGTACTGCTCGGTCGTCTGGCACGTTTATTAAGACAATATAGTATTATATAGCACGTTTTTTTAAGACAATACAGTATTTAGATAAGATTAAGAGGAGCAAATTCGACGAGTGGAACAGTCACGGACATTTTTTTATCAAAGAAAGGTCTTTCTTCTATTCAGTCAGCACGAGATGACTACAGTACAAAGTAAATATTCACTATTATACATAATTCTGAATGTATTGAATTTCTTAAATTAACCTTACTCTTACAAAGCCATCTTACAATGATCTCAAATAATTTTCGCTCGTTCGGCACTAGATTATTATTGCTAGATTTGTATTGCTAGATTATTATTGCTAGATTTGTATTGCTAGATTATTGCTAGATTTGTATCGCTAGATTTGCGTTGTTTTGTACGTTAAACCGTCCTGTGTTCAGTGAACCAATAGAGCTGTGTACACGTCTTAATTTTCTGTTAATCAACATGTCAATAACTCACATAATAAAGTAAGTTAAGTCGTATATATCCAGGGTCCCGTTTAGCGTTTTTTGTTTTGCTGACAGCCACATAATGCCCAGGCCAGAGGTGACAACAGTAAAACTAAACGGCTCATGTATTTCACTATTTTACCCGTATTAATATGAAATGAGCTGGAGGGAGATCTGACTCTTGCTACTAAGCACTAAGTCACTACGTGGCCAGTCACGTGACCAGCACTGGTGATCACGTGACATGACAACAAACACTAACGGTAGCTGTGATAGTACGGTACATGTACTGTAATTAAGGTAACAATACAGTTCGTTTCCTAATTGTAGTGTTTCGGGGAACATCCCTAGACGACCAACTAGTAGGATCATTTGTTTGTCGACGTTGCAATTAATACCTTTATTCATCTTGATCTAGCAATTCACCGTATTATATTATATATATACAGGGTGGGCCAAAAGTCAGTACCCATACGTTGGCCTTTATAGCTCAGTCACTGAGTGCCCAATTTAAATACTTCCTTCTGGTATGACTTAGTACCACCACTGGTTCGAGGAATTTGTCAACTCGAAAAATATTCGTGTTCATTTTTTTCAAATGGAGGTTCATTTTCACATTTATTTGATAGTTTGGATAGTCGGATCAAGCTAAATGTTATTGAATTGTGTTTGGCCATTCGAATTACGTTTGTCCTGAAAGAATTAGAACTGTAGCTTCTCAGATGACCGAGATATGAAGCATAACGAGTTTATTCATTACGTGTGATCAGGTGATTGGTTTACCTAATCACGTGATAAGGTGACCCCGTTAACTACCCCGTTAAACATTATGGGAATTGTTAAGGGTGCCCAATTAAGGTGTTGTGTCACGGTGTCACATAATCACCCAGTCAATTTTGTTAACGAGATACAGAAAATGCTTGATAACTTCGTCATTTCTAATCCGTTTTGCCTCATGTTTTTAGATCATATGCAACATTTGATAATCTACCGTCTCTGAAAAAATTAGGCGTTCAGCATGTTCAGAGAAAACAATATAGGTGTTTTAATATTGAATGGGCGTGGTCTAAAATATTCGAATTTTCAAATTTTGACGACGGAATCCTCGAACCAGTAAGTACAGTATGCCATCTGCAAAGCAACAGCTCTCAAATATAACACACGGCGGAGCTATTAAGGCCAACGTATGGGTACTGACTTTTGGCCCACCCTGTAGTATCCACCGGCTTTTCTTTATCTCCAATTCATATAGAACGGTTGCATTGTACTTATTATATATAAATAATTTTCTTAGCGCAACTTTGACTAGTTTCATTAGCGGGGATTTCCCTGAGAATGGTCCTATTTAGCCGTATCGACACGTTTACATGAGCAATTTTCATACGTGTGACAATGAACAGCACTTTGGTTGATTGTCTTTGAAAGATGGAGTTGCGTCAGTGCAAACAATACCACAGAGACGACTTCATTTGTTACTATTACTAGGCATCTGTTCATTATTAACAACGTAATAAGAATTCAGCTGCTTTGTGAAAATAATTCTGCAAATTTTTGTGAAACGGAGCATGTTGATGCGGTGAAGGGGATTATGGAAATTTCGTACATATCTCTGACTCCAAGGCTAATTCTACCTGTTCAGCTTTCAATTATTGAGTAAGAATATTGTAATTTGGTATACGGCGCATACAATTGTTGTTGCAGATTGTCGTTGATGGTTCAGCTTGATAGTGTTTCTAGGTGGTCAGATTGTTGTCTGGTTGACAAATTGACTGCTGATTTGATTAATTTTGTGTGGAACATATTAGAACGTTTTCTTTTGAATTATCCAGCCATTGTCAATGAGCAATTACTATTACTATCATTTCCTAATATGTTCTTTTGCAACTTTTCAGAAGGTAGCTTTGCTCTTCTGTTTTGTCGATTACTAAGATCAGAAGAAGTCTTTACATTTCACCTCTTGTAGGTTTATAACCTACCAGGACGCGCGTCGAGTTGGACTCGTCGACGGTCCTAATAAAATTTGGAACAAATATTTTACGAGTATCACCCGTTAATTCACCTCTATCTAATTTTACGTCACACAAGGATCAGGATGTCGACCGCTAATAAAGGACCTGTAACAAATGAGGAATGGATGGCTTTAGCTGACGCCCCTCTAAAGACGACCAAGCTTATAATGCCAGTAATTCTCATCCCCATATTGTGTATCATCGTGTATGGTATGTAAACATTCTTTGTTAACCCTTGTTGCACGTGCTTATTCTGTTAAATTTGTATAACTAAGAGCTATCACCTAAGTATTACATCTCTATTGACAGTTATTTTTACGTTTTATTTCAGTAATGGTGTTCATGAACATTAGAGAGAAGAATGAAGCGCTAAGGCGGATGGGCGGACCCAGCAATGTAGAGAACAACGGACCTAACAAAAGCTCTGACAAAACAAAGAGGAAAACGTCACTGTTCCCTATAAGCATGGGATTCGGTATACACACCCAGAGAAGGTATAACGCCCCAAAGGAGCAGAACACGGTTGAGATGGAGGCAGTGGTGGAAGAGGTGCAAGAGGCGGAGGTTACAAATGTTTAGAGACAAGGGTGGAAATGTGGAACGTCGAATAGTGTTGTCAGATTTGTTTGTCGTCTGGGACTGGTTAAAGTTTTTTTTACATATAATAATATTGATTGCATTGTGATTGCAGCTATGACAGCTAGGCTGTTTGGTAATTTTATGAGCCAATTTGGTCTGACAAGACTATTTTTAGTCGGATTGATTCAGAGGATTAAAATTTTGAAGAGTGACAAGCGTTGAAATTATCTTGAAGTCAAGTTGGCATGGACATTTCAGAAATGATAGGACCGGGGTGATGGTGGCTGCTTGCTGGTTTTGTAAGTTATTTCAATAAAGTGAAACAAACAAAATGAAGAACAATAATCGGACTGGAAGCATTACGTAAATACGTATCGAACTATATTACTGCATTTCAGTAAAAAAACGAGGGTTCAACCTTCGAGATTATTTTTTTCTGTGAAAAATAATTTAGCTAATATGAGAAATTGTAACACAAACAATCTAACATACGCTGTTTACTGTTTTAACTACCACTAAAAGCGTATTTCGGATAATTTATGTTAACTGACCAGATTTCACTTTATTCGGCCCCTCTTCACTGTGCAGAATGTTGACATAGCATGCATTAAATGAGCACTTACCCCCCAGTTCCATGGCCGGATATTATGCCAAATTATTAGACGGAGATTGTCTACTGATATTTCTCCGGATATTTCTCCGGTTTGCAGTTCCACGACCGGAGACCATCTACGGTAATTTTGTTGATCCTGTATGATTCTGTATGAATTAATCTCCGAGAAATTCCCGGAGAGCTTCATCTCCGTCTAATACAGTAGACGGAGCCGGAGAATCATCTCCGGAGATGACCTACGGGAAATGGACCTCCGTCTAATAATTTGGCATAATATCCGGCCATGGAACTGGGGGGTTAAGCACCACCTCTACTCAGCAGTCAGATAAACATATTTTACCCTACTTCCTACCCCCTCCTCCCCTAACCAACTTCATCTTCCATTTTACTCCTCGTTCCCTGAGTCAAATTAAACCCTCTTACCTTAAAGTTCCACTCCTCACCACCAATCTTGAGGTTCTTAACAGCCTCAGCTGCAGCACTCTCCGGGTTCAGCAGCGGAACATCCTCCTTCTCATCTACTGGATCCTTGTCTGACGTGTCGTGCGGCCGGAGAGAACCACTGTAATTATATGATAAATAGAAATAATTATACACTGTTTAAGAATAATTATAGCACCGTTTAGAGCATGACTCGTAGGATCGTTAGGAGCCCGAGCAATTTATAGAACAATTATTATCAACAACTGATGGGGAGGCGATGCATGTAGTCAGTCATTGTCAGAATGTGGCAGGCAAAATCATACATAATAATAATAATTATTTAAAATAAACCATAGTTAGATGTGTATAGGGTATGTGTGTTACCTCAAATCACTCCTACTAATGTTAAACCAGTTCCTACTCCCGATCACACTTCCTATCAAAGAGATATCATTAACTGTATCTCCACTGAGCACTCTCAACTTCTCCTCATGCTGCTCCCTTGAACTGTCACGGCACTTCAGGAACACTTCACGTGATCTAGCGTGAAGTTCAGCTGATTTGTCACGTGGTTTATTGCAGCAGTCACGTGTTATACCAGGTGATGGTCGTTTTATCCCACTGGAATTATTTCGGTTCCGGATCTGGATTCTTTTCTTTTTGTCCCATTTGTGTTGAATCTTTTGGTACCGTACAGATTTGATACCGGGCATTTCACTGGAGTAAGAGCATTGATCACGGTAAATTGAAGGGGTAACCACGACAGTGTGCTTATCAGTATTCAAGAGGTTCTCTAGTCTAACAATATCTTGCGGAGTATCCAGCGTATCCAGATTTAAAGCTCCTTCATCAACGTTACTGCCTAACTCCAAACCCCTACCCTTCATCTCCACACACTCCAGACCGGACTCCACAACTTCAAAGGGCAGAGTGACAACGCTGTCTTCCTCCAGATCAGACAGATGTTCAATGAGCTGGGTGGTGGCCCTGCCCCCCTCCTCACCGGGACCACCCTCCTCACCGGGACCACCCTCCTCACCAGGACCACCCTCCTCACCGGGACCACCCTCCTCACCGGGACCACCCTCACTCAGCACCCTCTCTCCCACTATTGGTGTTAGCCTCGCTTCTATTAGCTTGCTCGTAGGTGCGTTGTCTATGTCGTAGTCCGACTTCAGGGGTTTCTTTAACGCCAGTTCTTGTTGGTATTTGATGTATTGACCGAGGGCGAGGGAACGTCTGTATGATTTGGAGAGGGTGTCGAGGACAGCGGAATTGGATTGGAGAGCGTCGATGTTGAGTTTTGAGGAGAGACTGTTGTAGAGGAGTCGTGAAGAGTGTGTTCGAGACTTCTGTTTTGTTGCTGTTTGTAATTTGTGATTTTCAGTTTGTACTTTGCAATTGTCAGTTTGTAATTTATAATTGTCAGTTTGGAGTGTGTTTGAGTTTGTAGATGTGTTGTCAGGAGAAGAAGACGTGTTGGACTTGTTCGATAACCAGTCTGCAAGTTTCATGTTAATATTTTGTAGTTTGTTAGAGATTGAAGTTGTGTTAGTCGGGCTGGAGAAAGTTATGTTAATCTGAGGAGTGTGCGACCTTTTTGTGGGGTAAGTTTGTGTTTGATCCAGTAGAGTCTTGTCAGTATCAGCAGTGGTCATTGTTCTGGGATTGTCAGTAATTTAGTGTATTCTACAGTGTCGAAATCCAACAATTTGAAAATATCAAATATACAATCTAATGTGTTAACTTTGATCTTAATAATGTCAATAACTATATCAATTGAAGAAACAATATGGAGATTACTTACGCTCTGACTTGAGGTTTACTGGGAGATCTCTTGACTCCTCCGTCGGAGACATTTAGTCGTGACTCTACGGGTGCTGACACTGGTTTACCTAACAATTATTTTTTAGTGGCATAGGAATTTTAAGGGGTTTTGTTATTTTAAGGGGGAAGTTTACTTCTATTCTAAAGCTTTGTTAATAAAGATTAAATTCGTACGATTCAAATTTTCCAGTAATTCAGGGTTAAAAGGAAATTAATACAAATATGAAGATGGCTGTCTGAAAGCGTGGAGCATTAAACCCAACTACTCACTGAACTGTGCCCTAGGGGCCCTTGGTGAAGGTCTAAGTTTCTGCTCCCTCTCCACCTCATACTCTGGCTCCTCGTGAGGTAACCTCTGTTCTGCGCTCTGACGTTCAACTAACTGAGCCCTTTTCTTCTCGAAGCGCATGCGTGTTGCAGCAGATAGACCCGAGCCTATGGGGTGACCCTCACGGTTTGTCTGTTCCTCTTTGTCAGAACTGTCTTCTTCAGAGTTATCAGAGTTGTCCGAGAGGCTGCCGTCTACTGAAATCAACAAAACTGGTTATTTGACGAGGTTGTGGGTTTTAGGGTGCGAAATGCCCTCACTTTATAATAGGGTAGCTTTTTTGCATAGATTCAGCCTACACAACTCATAAGAAATTCTAGAATCCAAATATGAGATATAGCACTTAAGTGATACTAATTAACTTCACGCACAGCAACAACCCCGAAAATAAACTTCAACTAAAAACTCCACAGAAAGACCCCGTACCTTCGTCAGGGATCTAGAAGGATGCACTCTCTGACCGTATACCCCACTAGGTGCTCTGAGAGGCTGCTTCTCTTCGCTCATCTTTGGCTTTTCCTTCATCTGCTCCTGTAGGGGTAACCGGTTATGAATATGAAGCACGAGACCAGAGAGCTATTTAACAATCGTATTAAATAATGTCTAATTAATTAATTAATTAATTAATTAATTAATTAATTAATTAGACATTATTTAGTACGATTATTACCAAAAAGTGTACATATCACGAGAGCTATTAGTTCAAACGTATAAATAAAACGTATAATTATTAAAATATCCTGAATCTAGCTTTGACAGTGGTAACTGTGAATTTTGACAGGAACCAGGAACCGACAAGAATCAAGAAGAATGTCGACCGACCTTGAGACCACCATCAGAGTCGATGTGGTGACTTGAGAGTCCTTTCCCAACAATATCGATATTTTTGTCAGGTTCGTTGGATATGGACTCTGTTCTGGTGCGAGCTTTGATAAGCTTTGGACGGGGCTTCCTAGAATCTTCAGCAGCCTGCTTCAGCTTCTTTTTCGCCAAGTTCTGAGATATTTCTTAATAAGTTTAAGACTAAAGAAGAGCAAAGATAAGAACATGCAGTGCCTTCATAATTATTAAACTTCCAACTGACAATATTCTGCATTTGAAATCCACCTTCACTTTTACCAACTATACAATGAAAAGATTAATTTTCAAATTAGAAACTATACTATCGCTTACCAGTTCAACATAACCGTTGCCGATGTGATAAGAGTCTATTCTCATACCCTCCTCCTTGTGGTACTGCTCTGCTACTTCGTTCTCGCGCTGTAACTGTGCTCTCATAGTTGACCTGCGTTTCTCTTCTTTTGCCAGCTCTTCCATCCTTATCTTCTCCCATTTCGCCTAGTGATTAAGGGTCACAACTTTCGCTTTTAACTATTAAATCACTTTCAGAGCTACTAAACCCCGCGTCGATTCAATCAGGGAAAAATTTGAGATTTGTTCAGTAATACATAATATAATCGGGCACAGAAATTATACCAATAGGACTCTTCTGGTTGTATTTAAGTCACGCAGCCGTGATACCTGCTCCCTATTGGCTGGCGTGAAACCACGTGACAAGTTCCCTAGAAAGGTAAGACTCACAAGTTCTAGACGCTCCTCCTCCGCTCTCCTCCCCTCCTCCTCATCCTGTTTGATATCTCTCCTGGCTGCTGACCGGCTATCCTTGTTGGAGGTGGTCTCTGACTCTTCGGGGGCCTGGGGTGTGGTTCTGTGCTCTTCTGTTGTTACGGGTGTGGATCGCTGGAGGGAGGAGGTGTTGTTACCTATTATAGGACTCTGTTATCAAATGTTAATGAACTAATAGGGAATTCCTGAAGGTCTACGTATTTATTTTTTACATTTTAAGATGGTTATCTTTTGTTGGTGACTAGTGATAATAATGAACGCATTATCAAGAAATGGATGAATGAAAATTAAAAACAGAAGTTTGGGTATCATCGATACATTCGAAATTTTCGCCATCGAATTTCTCGGATGAACTTCGCATGATCCCTCAAAGTATATAGCATGTACCTCTGTACCAGCAGTGCCAGTAGTACCCTCACTCCGTTCCTGAGCTAGCCTGTTGATATCTGAGATCGGTATCACTCGGTACGTCTTACCACCGTCCTTTGACCTCGCCTGCTCTTCGGTCATCTTAACGCCGTCTAACTCTGTCTCGCTCTTCGACTGGATGTCTTTGGCTTTATATCTGGTACTTTTCTTCCTGTGTCTTATCCGATCAGTTTTACTGTTATTTTTTGTCTTTAATCGTGGTATATCGGGCAGAGGAACTGCATCAGCAGCAAACTGAGGGTTGTCTGGGATCATTTCGTTCGATTTTGTAGAGGACTTGTTTGATTTCGTGACTCTTGGAGAGGACTTGTTCTGTTTCGAGATACTTGAAGATGATTCTTCTGTATTCGGAATCGGACTTATAATTCTCTGAGTTGAAGGATCTTGGTTTTTTTGCTGTGATTTTGGATAATATCTCTTGTCTTTCTGTTTACCTTTCCCGCGTCCCGCTTTCTTATCTTTATTATTTGAGTGAATAGGTGGTCGTTCTGAGGTCCCCTGTCGAGTACTGATGGAATCTTGGCTTGTTGTGCTCACTACGCTCGGAATGCTAGAAATGCTCGGTATGTTATGAATTGAAACATGTTTCACGACCTTTTTCTTCCGTAATTTCTTCCGGGCTAAATTCCGTCTTCCAGCAAACGTGTTAGATCTACCAAAGGTTAGCTCCCAGTCAACAGAATTAGCATCATCCCTGCGTTGTTTCTTCAAGATGGATCGCAGTACTGTATCGCTCTTTGGGTCACGTGATTGTGATAATGTATCTTTATTGGCTGCCGTGAAATTGCGTGATAGTGATATGGTTCGAGTTCGTTTGAGAACAGGTAATGATGTGCTGTGTTTTGGAGCCTGGTGGGGTGAGAAGGGTTTTTAATAGAATCTAACGATAAAGTGTAGTCAGCGGTAAAATTATAAATATACATTATTTTATTAAAATCAAGATTGTTATGAAAAAGTGTATTTTCCACTTGTCTTAAGAGTTTTGAATTTTCAGGTGAAACATCAAGCTTCATTTCTCATCGATAAATTCATATCCACTGATATCTACTCTACTACGAATTTCTATTAACAACTAACAAACTGAACAAACATGACCGGTGGTAAATAAACAAACTAACAACTAACAGCCCCTACTTTTGAGTTGACGAATGAGTGCTCCTCGAAAATTCCGCTATCATTGAGAGTAGTAGCGGGGGAATAGTGGTTCTGTCTTGGTGGGTTTGATGCTGAACCGTTGGGAGTATTGTTCGTGAGTGTTCCTACTCCGCTACTTTCACCTAAAGGGTTGGCAATTAGTCAACTAATTAGTCTAATTAGTTGACAATTAGTCTTATGGGCGATCAAATTACTTAATTATCGGATAGTTTATGGTGGGTTAATTATAATTAGTCTTCAGTTATCACGCTGTTGAAGCTGAAGTGTGAACAAGATAAAGAGGCATTCAAAAAACTGGAAAATGATTTAAGGCGTACAGTGAACAGTGAACAGTGCTACACAGAACAGAAATAAAGAATGCTTCCAAGAGATAGGTTTTAAAAGAAGTTGTTTTGTTTTGAATTCCGCAACGTGCGGACCCCTCGGTACAAGCACGTGTTCAGGTTACTCCTTCATCAAGAAAACGACAGCTGCACTTTACAACACGAACCTGAGTTAACGCGATAGTTTGCGTACATACTCGAAGTCTGAACTCCGTAACTGTCGTTTGCAAACGAGTTTGATTTCTGTGGTGGCGCTGATCCGTTTGATAAAACCTGAGAAATTACAAGGTGATTTTTAGAATGAGAATTAACATTTTAACTTCCGAAAGATTTCGCACTACAATAACCTTTTTACACACGCTTATCTTCCTCACACAACATATTTTGTATTCACTACCACGCAATAAACTGACCCACTGACCTCCTCATCCTTAGTTTTAGTAGTTGGCCAGCTGCGTTTGGGGTCGGGGGATCCTTTGACAGACGGGAAATATTTCTTCAGTGAACCGAGCGTGTTCGACCTATAACAAAGATATCAGAGACTGAATACTATCAAATATTCCCAAAATAAGAGAAATATACAACTTTTAAAAATATAAGTTTCCGGAATGACACCAAACATTAGCGCACCTTGGAGCAGACGTTTGGTTGCTAAGACTGTCTTCAGGTCCGCCTGAGTCCTTCTGTATCTTCTTAAGGTGCATCTGCGCGTAACTCCCGCCATCACTTCGTCCTCCACCTCCCTTGATGAACACGTGACCTCGGTCTCCGCCGCGCGGGGATGTGAACTGTTCCTCTGTGCCCTGGGAAATATTCATGTTACTTTCAGTGTTACTTTCAGTGTTACTTTCAGTGTTACTTTCAGTGTTACTTTCAGTGTTACTTTCAGTGTTACTTTCAGTGTTACTTTCAGTGTTACTTTCAGTGTTACTTTCAGTGTTACTTTCAGTGTTACTTTCAGTGTTACTTTCAGTGTTACTTTCAGTGTTACTTTCAGTGTTACTTTCAGTGTTACTTTCAGTGTTACTTTCAGTGTTACTTTCAGTGTTACTTTCAGTGTTACTTTCAGTGTTACTTTATGTTTTTTGGGGTATTTTTCATGAGTTTTGACTCCACATGACAACAAGTCCGAGTTCCGACAAATGTAGAAGTTCCGAATATACCCACCCAAATAGCAATGTCTGGATTTTCGGGGACCTCTGGTTTTCTGTATTGGAAAAATTTGGTCGCCATAGAGAGGCGTTTAGAGCCGCGTTGGGAAGACGTGATGAACAAGATTGTAAACTTTCACATAATCTATAAGTAGTGGGGTGAGGAGTAATTTAGGGCTAGTTTAACCTCGTATCATCACCATCTTCTCTTGCCTTTATTGTGAGAGACTGATTAACGAGTTAATTACATACTCGGAAATTAAGTCAAGATAGTGAAATCTTTATTAAAACGTGTTGAATTGACTCGCTGCCAAAGATTGAGTAGGACACTGATAACTGGTTGATAAGGATTATAAATATGGAGCCGGATAATTAATGGACGGTGCACTGTACTTTGTATATTTTGAAACTCTGGATAGCGAAAAAAAATAGTAATCAAAATAAAAGCAAACAAAAAAGGACACGTGATAACAGAACGTGTAAAACAAATTAATAATAATGAGCATTAATGCCAACTCTGCGACAAAGTCTAATAGTTAAACGTCGGATAAGTACTTTGCACGGCAAAGTGAAGCAAGACTTCTGTTGGCTCGGTGTTAGCTTTGTTGGCTGTGAAAAATTCTCACGCTTTCTTAAGAAAGTTGGGGAGCATTCAACAAATAGAGCTGGTGGTTCATTATGAGGTCTGATATGTTCTATTATATCTGCATGGCAGTGTACTGTATAGTATTGCTGTAGAAAGTTCTGGTAATATGGGGTTCTAGAAAAGGAGGTTAAATTAGAAATAGGGAACTTCCAAGCATCGTAATCATTTGATAATGTGATATTGATAATCTTAGTTATAATTCAAATAGCTCCATAGATTATATTATTAAGTAATAAGTATTGAATAGGGTGATCAGGTTTAAATACCACAAATTCAACTTCAACTTCAATCATTTTCTATGACAATGAAAATAGTTGATTTGAAATAAGCTTTTACTGATATAGAAAAGTAATGTATCAAAGATCAGCATTCAGAAAAATATCGAACGTGTAACCAGTTTCACGGTCCAAAACACAACCGATTAGTCGCGAGATTTTCTCCGCGGGAGATCGAAAATCAAACAAAAGCCTGAAATCGGCTTCAAAACAGGAGCATATATCAGTGAAGCGAATCTAGACATTACCTATGACCTCCATTCTGAAGAAACAAAGTAGACAAAACTGCCACTTAATACATTGTTAACTACCAGCTTATAGACAGATAACACGAAGATAGGGATCTAAACAGCTGATAAGTAGGATAAGATGATGTGACCTCCCTCTCTACCCGGCTGAGGATACCCCGTCACTACGAGTCGTCATGTGACTCACACGTGGTCATGTGAGTCACACGTGACTCACACGTGGTCATGTGAGTCGTCGGATAACAAAGTGATTAAGAGCTTTGTTGTGACAAAACGCGCCCACAATCCGCCACACAAGGCTCCCCCGTATGTTTCTAACAAGGAGGATAGGTGTTTTTAGTAGCCATAATTAGCTAATTACTTAATTATCGAACAAGACTGGGAGAGCTGGTCTAAATATACATTCTGAGATAAAGGAGAGAACGGAGATAACAACGGACAGCCTCAAAGGATAAAGATAATGGAGTTGGACCTGCTGTGATAGAGACACCAATTAACCTTATCAGGGGATAAAAATAGAAACTATAGTTTTAAACAGGTCGTTGTTGGTTGTGTACTAGGTATTTATGTACTGTAAGTGAGGAGGTTGTTGAAGGTGGGACTCATAGGTAAGAGAAGCTTCTTCTTCAGAACACACAGTGTCTGGAATGATCTACCGATACCCCATGATGTCGTTTATTTTAAATTCTCTTTGCTGTATTGTATATGTACTATTTGTAAAAGTTTCAAATCAGGTGGGTGAAAGCCAAGGTAAGCGATATTATGAAGTTATAAAGTGAATACGTCATCAAGATAACGAGAAGATAACAAATTAAAACAGCGAGCAAGGAAGTAAGAATATTTCCTTCTGATGTCTGTAGGTCTCACGCAAACACATATGATACATTTGGAGGGGTTCGCAATAGTAATACCGCTGTTGTCATAGCAACTTCAGTAATGTAATAACATGGGAAAAGTATAGGAATTTAGAGGAAAGGCTGAGGTTGAAATTTGTTTAAATGTGTTTAGTGCAATCAATAGTGGGATGATTAGGATTAAATTAAATGTGTGTTCATCACTTGAATATGGGGTAGAGTTACTAGTATTCGTACCATTTAGGGAGTATCATTTGTACCATATAAGGGAGCATTGTTGCGAATGTTTAGGGCCATTTGGTCTTAAATGATCTTAAATGTTCAAATGAGCCAGGTCTCCGATTCGAGCCAATTCATCAGTCGAGTGAACAGAAAATACAAAATCGACGACACGGACAAAACAAGGGAGCTCTTAATCAAACTTAAATTGACAGAAACTGAGAGACTACCATTCTGAGTTACAATTAGATAATTTAAGTTTAAAACTCTCCGGCCTCATTGAGCACGTCACACTTTACGTCATACTTTGTGGACCAGCCCTTAGTTTAGAGTGCATAATTCGTGCATCGGAGAGGAAAATAGCTGATATTGTAAACATATTGTGAGGTTGACTTGCGTCAAACAAGTTGAGATCTACAGTTATTGAAAAATGTTGAAAAAAAGCGATCGTAACAGCGCTGAACTTCAAAACAGCTCAAAAAAATGTTAAAAACTTATAAGGACAGCCGTTGAATGATATATGCTTTAATGAAGCTGTGGTTTACGTTTTAATATTGAAATGTAAATTATTGCCGGCGATAATATGCCTCTCTCAAATGAGCCGTTATCTTTGGATTCGTTCTGTCGATTCAAAAGAGAGCATGTTATAATTCCAGCAATATTTCTAAAGCTTGCTGCTTGTTTCTAACGTAATCTTAGGAACAATAAAGTAACTGGTTACTAAGCGTAATTGCAAAAATGATGTCATTCTAATTACCGTCGTTCTACTAATTATACTGTTGTGGAGTGGCGAAGTTTTGGAAACTATCACGTATTATGCGCATTCAACCGTTTCTGCCAAACAATTATTCTCTGACGGAAATGCTCGTATGAAGATTGATACGAACTATGGCAAGAATGTCAAGGCTAAAACAATTGGGCAGTGTTTGAAATTACAACTTAGTCTGTTTCCGCCAGCATCGGCTAGCATTCCGAATGATTTCTAGTGATGTTTCCTCTATTTCATGAGTCAAGTTCAAGTTTCATCCATCAAGGTATGAAGATGGCAGGAACCAACAAATTTCTTTCGGAAATAGCAGTAAAAAATAAGCCGTTCTGAAATGAAGTCAATCAAAAGTTCGAGGGAAAGTAAATTTCACAACTATCAACTAAATCATCCCAGAAACTTTAAAAACAACTCAAGAGGGAATACAGGTATCAGTACTTGAGTAGAACGGTGTGTTACGATAAATCAAAAGAACTGAAGACAAAGCACCAGTGCTGGGTTTTATGACGTAATAAACACTTCGTAAACTCGTTAATTCTAGTAACTGAATTTGAGGACTCAAATGCAACGCTAAATCTAAGTTCAGTGTTTTATTCTTTGATTTGAATACGATAAGACTGGTGTGTGTTAATCTGATATTGAATTTAAGTGCAATATTTTATTCTGATAACTTAATAAAATGGATGTATGCTTACTGTTGATCAGTCATATTTATAAAAAACATGTTCTGCTAACGATTAAAAACTTAAATAAATATAAATAAGACAGAAGAAAATAGATAGTCCAGCAAAGATTTTGATCAAGAAAAGGCATTGAGGGTGCATCTATATTCCTATATATCATGCAACAGTCAACACACAAAGACAAAAAGCAAACGAAAACTTCCACAGATAAAGTTTAGATCATCCGGTGAACCTAGGAATGATCTAGGAAGGGCACATTGCTAGCATTCCGGACAGACCCATCGTGCATGATCCAGGTAATTTGAAGCTATATTGACATTTGGCATGCTAGTGATCCAGGAAGGATGGTTAAGTAATGTAAAGTCACGATGAGGGGATTCTTTGGAATTCTGTTGTGAAGGTTAACACAAGTGCTTGGTATTGGTACTTGTACTAATTTAACCAGCAGGGTGGGTAGTATATTTGCCTAGTCACGTGACATCAGAGTGACGTCAGAGTGACGTCAGAGTGACGTCACTATTCTAAAACCTGGATCAACAGAGATCACAGCTGGATCAGCAACTAAACAAGTCTGGTTCTGTCGAAACTAAACGGATCATCCGGTGAACCTAGGAATCAGAGTGACGTCACTATTGTAAAACAAGTCTGGTTCTGTCGAAACTAAACGGATCATCCGGTGAACCTAGGAATCAGAGTGACGTCACTATTCTAAAACCTGGATCAACAGAGATCACAGCTGGATCAGCAACTAAACAAGTCTGGTTCTGTCGAAACTAAACGGATCACCCGGTGAACCTAGGAATCAGAGTGACGTCACTATTGTAAAACAAGTCTGGTTCTGTCGAAACTAAACGGATCATCCGGTGAACCTAGGAATCAGAGTGACGTCACTATTCTAAAACCTGGATCAACAGAGATCACAGCAGGGTCAGAAACTAAACAAGTCTGGTTCTGTCGAAAC